TAATAGCGTCAGAAAGACAAAAAATGGGGATTGGAAGTAATGTAAAAAAGGAATTACGCAAAAAGAAAGAAAGGGACAAAGAACAAAAAACAGTAGAAGAAGAAGAAGATAAAGAAGAAAAAAAACAAGACAGAAAACGAAGAAGAAAACGAGAAAATGAAGAAGAGAAAAAGGAAAACGAAGAAGAAAAGAAACAAAAAAACTAAGAAAAAAGAAAAGAAAAAGAAAACGGAGAAGAAAAAAGAATACCAAGAGGAAGAAAAAACGAAGGGAAAGAAAAAATCCAGAAAATGAATAAGAAAATGGAAAAAGAAAACGAAGAAGAACAAAAAAAATAAAAACAAGAAGGAAAGGAAGAAAGAAAAAGAAGAAAATCAAGAAACTGAAGAAGAATATAACGAAGAAGGAAAACCAAGAAAACTTAGAAGAAGAAAACGTAGAAGAAAAAAACGGAGAAGAAAAACAAAAAACGAAGAAGAAGAAAATGAAGAAGAAAACTAAGAAGAAGAAGAAGAAAAAAGAAAACTGAGACGAAAAACAAGAAAACGAAGAAGAAAAAGAAAAAACAAGAAAAGGAAAATGAAAAAAGTGAAGACGAAAATGAACAAAAATCAAGAAAATGAAGAAGAAAAATCAAGAAAACGACGACGATGACAAAGAAGAAGAAGAAGAAGAAGTTGGAAGAAGAAGAAGTAAAAGATGAAGAAGAAGAAGTCGGAAGAAGAAGAAGAAGAAGAAGGAGAAGTTGGAAGAAGAAGAAATAAAAGATGAAGAAGGAGAAGTCGGAAGAAGAAGAAGAAGAAGGAGAAGGAAGAAGAAGAAGTAAAAAAGATGAAGAAGGAGAAGTCAGAAGAAGAAGAAGAAGAAGAAGAAGAAGTAAAAAAGACGAATAAGAAGAAGTCGGAAGAAGAAGAAGAAGGAGAAGTCAGAAGAAGAAGAAGAAGTCGAATAAGAAGAAGAAGGAGAAGGAGAATTCGGAAAAAAAGAAGAAGAAGAAGACGGGACAGCAGGGGAGGAAAGAGGAAGGAAGAAGAAGCAGGAGGAGGCGGAAGAAGAAGGAGAAGGAGAAGTCGGAAGAAGAAGAAGAAGGAGAAGGAGAAGTCGGAAGAAGAAGAAGTAGAAGATGAAGAAGAAGAAGAAGAAGGAGAAGTTGGAAGAAGAAGAAGTAAAAGATGAAGAAGGAGAAGTCAGAAGAAGAAGAAGAAGAAGAAGAAGTAAAAGACGAATAAGAAGAAGTCGGAAGAAGAAGAAGAAGGAGAAGTCAGAAGAAGAAGAAGAAGTCGGAATAAGAAGAAGAAGGAGAAGGAGAATTCGGAAAAAAAAGAAGAAGAAGAAGACGGGACAGCAGGAGGAGGAAAGAGGAAGGAAGAAGAAGCAGGAGGAGGCGGAAGAAGAAGGAGAAGGAGAAGTCGGAAGAAGAAGAAGAAGGAGAAGGAGAAGTCGGAAGAAGAAGAAGTAGAAGATGAAGAAGAAGAAGAAGAAGGGACAGCAGGAGGAGGAAAGAGGAACGAAGAAGAAGAAGCAGGAGGAGGCGGAAGAAGAAGGAGAAGGAGAAGTCGGAAGAAGAAGAAGAAGGAGAAGGAGAAGTAGGAAGAAGAAGAAGTAGAAGATGAAGAAGAAGAAGAAGAAGAAGAAGGGACAGCAGGAGGAGGAAAGAGGAAGGAAGAAGAAGAAGCAGGAGGAGGCGGAAGAAGAAGAAGAAGAAGTCGGAAGAAGAAGAAGAAGGAGAAGATGAAGAAGAAGAAGAAGGGACAGCAGGAAAAGGAAAGAGGAAGGAAGGAAGGAAGAAGAAGAAGAAGAAGAAGAAGGAGGAGGAGGAGGAATCATGAAGAGGGTAAGCAAGAGAAATGTCAGAATAAGATATATAAAGAAAAAACCAAAACCGGAAAAAGAAAGAAAGGAAAGAAAGAAACAAAATGACAAGAGAAGGAAAAGAACTGAAATAAAAGAAAGAAATGAAGAAATTCCAAAAAGACAATAATCAAGAGAAAAAAAAAATTAAAAAAACTGAAGGAAAAAAAACAAAAAAAAACAACAACAACACAAACAAAAAACAAAAAAATAACTAAAAGATGCGATCAAAAAATTCCTGGAAAGCGATAGTTTCTGGCGTATGTTATGTGTAGTAAGAGAACATTCGGAAAAGTGTAGACGGAAATGGCTGTATGGTTGAAAGAGATGAAATTAGCTGGCAATAACCAGGAAAATTGAAAAGATTGAGGAAGCGAACAATGAAGGCAAGGAATAAATAAATTCGCAGATGAGGAAAGGAAATTTACAAGGAAGAAAGCAATTTCAGAAAGAAATACAGAAATAAAATAAAAGTAAGCCAAAACACATACGTACATATACGCGCACACAAAATCCACACATGTGCACCCCCCAACAGACACACAGACGCTACATAGAAAAGTAAAGAAAAGAACAAAAAAATATGTAGGAATAGTTAATGCAAATGGTAAGGAAGATGGTGAAGAAGAGAGAGGTAGCGGTAGGGAAGTTGAAATTGAAATAAAATATTTTAAAATTTATAACAAAAGAGCGATTTATTATCGATTGGAAGCCGTGATTGGCTGGAAAAAAAAGGTACAAGCAAAACGTACAAACACAATTCCCAGTGAATTGAAAAAGAACATCAGAATGGTAAACGGCCCTAAAAAAGTGTGATAAGATATATATATATATATATATATATATATATATATATATATATATATATATATATAGTATATATAAAGAGAAGATAAACGTATACAGAATTCAGGAATTAACGTATACAGAGTTAAAGAATAAACGTATACAGAATTAAGGAATAAACATATACAGAATTAAAGAAAAAACGTATGCAGAATTAAGGAATAAACGTATGCAGAATTAAGGAATAAACGTTTACAGAATGCGTGAGAATAGCAGAATTAAATTGTATTTCTTTTTGTTTTTGTTTTTAAATACGAGATGGAATATATATGGCGATTTACACAACATAGCTTAGATGTGGCACAAGGCTGAAATTCTGGAGCATCCAGTCGTAATTGATCTATCGAGACAAGCTTGTTAACCATTACACCACGCCGAAGTGCCTGGGATTCACTAAGCTTAGCTTAGTTGTTACATGGCGCTGGAAGTACGAAGCACCCAAAGCCGAAAGTACTTCAAAACTAAACAGAAAGAAAATTGTTTACGGGAAATTTATGTGAAAAGATCAGAAGTGTGTAACGGCTTGCACGAAATATTCTTTGGAGTGTTTAAGAAAAATTAAGTCAGATAGAGGAAAATATACTATTTAAATTATTCAGACTATTGCCCTCATCTTTGTCGCCATATTTATTACAACGTTGTACGCTCCGGCCTTCTTCAGGTGGTTGGACACATGGCACAGTGGATAAAGGCGTTAGTTAGATCCAGTGACAGGACCCAAAGAGTGTGACTTCAATATCCAGTTAAGGCAGTGGAGAACTTGGAGAGGAGATTTAACAGGAGATAACTGATACCTGGCATCCATTAGACATGGCACGTGGAACTAGAACAATTTACCCCAGTGAGCGAAATAAAGGTTTCAGTTCGACATTCCAACCACCTGAAGAAGCGTACAAATGCCGAAACGTTGTAATAAATATAGCGACAAAGATGAGGACAATAGTCCGAATGATGTAAATAGTGTGCTTAATACCTCATCTCAGAAATATAGACAGATACTGAAGGGCCGAAACGTTGTAATAAATATGGCGACAAAGATGAGGACAATAGTCTGAATAATGTAAATAGTGTGCATAATACCTCATCTCAGAAATATAGACAGATACTGAAGGGCCGAGACGTTTTAATAAATATGGCGACAAAGATGAGGACAATAGTCGGAATAATGTAAATAGTGTACATAATACCTCATCTCAGAAATATAGACAGATACTGAAGGGCCGAGACGTTTTAATAAATATGGCGACAAAGATGAGGACAATAGTCCGAATAATGTAAATAGGTCAACGTAATTGCAGAAACACCTGTTGTTATATAGGGTGGGATGAATGAAGAATTATTGTAGAAGTGGTATGTCTTCGAAGAGGCATTGGTTTGCTTGAATCTAATTTCAGAACAAATTGTCAGTTTTTAATTTTGGATAGAGGATCGGATTTAGAAATCGAAGAGCCGAGTTCGAATTCCACTCAAAAGGTATGAATCCTCTTCTTCTGCCCCTCCCCCACCCAGCTAAGAGTAAATAGCAGGACAGACCGGGTTCTATAGCCTTGGATGGCAACTGGTCTACCGCAGAAAGAAATGGCAACCAACCGTGGAAAAAAAAATCTGTCTGGTCAGTCATGTATCGAAAGATACATGATCGCCGAAGCGTGTATCACGCATGCCATATAACTAAATAGGAGGCACGGATTGAGGAATCGGAGAGCCGAGTTCGAATTCCAGTCGAATCCATTACATTCACTTACGTGCTAATAACCTTGTGAAAAAGTACGAATCCTCTTCTTCTCTCACTAGCTATGGATAAATAGCAGGACAAACCGGGTTCTATAGCCTTGGATGGCAACTGGTCTACTGCAGAAAGAAATGGCAACCTACTGCAGGAAAAAGAAACTCCATCGTCAGTCTTGTATCTTTCTATACATGATCGCCTAAGCGTGTATTACGCATGGCACATAATTGACTATGAGGCACGGATTGAGGAATCGAAGAGCCGAGTTCAAATTCCAGTCAAATTCATTACATTCACTTACGTGCTAATAACCTTAGGGAAGGTATGAATCCTCTTCTTCTCTCCCCCCCCCAGCTATTGGTAACTAGCAGGACAGACCGGGTTCTATAGCCTTGGATGGCAACTGGCCTATGGATAGATAGAGATCTGCATACTGCAGAAAGAAATGGCAACCTACTGCGGGAAAAAAACTGTCTCGTCAGTCATGTATCGAAAGATAAATGATCGCCTAAGTGTGTATCACGCATGGCACATAACTGAACTGACTGATGTTAATCTGACTTGAAATATTGTTACTCGCCCGATCACCGAAGTTAAGCAATGTTGAGCCTGGTCAGTGCTTAGATGGGTGACTGTTTGGGAAAAACCAGTTGCTGTAGGCTGTGATGGATAACGACCTTAGTGAGAAATCGAGGAATTCGAATTATAGCCGAGTTCATTATATTCACTTATGAGCAAATACATCTATTCTCCCGCAGCTATGGATTAAATAGCAGGACAGACTGGGTTCTACAGCCTTGGCTGTAATTATTCTGTCAATTCAATCATGAATCGAAAAGAAACATGATCTCCCAAGCATGCTTTGCGCATGACAACTAAGAAAAGATGCTTTCTCGCTCTCAGCTGAACATGTTGCGTGACATCATCTGGTTTGACTAGGTATTTACTCTGTCTCCCCAATAAGACGAGTTGTGACACAAGGTCTTTTTGCGGGGGATCCGAGCGCGTACACTTGGGTCAGGGACAAAAATTGCCCGCAACCATCGGTTGCGCTGGTCTCGAAGCGAGCACCGATCCTTCTCTCTGGTGCAATGAGAGGGCTCGGACTAGGGCAGGGTCGGGGCACCTCTCAGTTTAATTTTTCATTAAGCGGGTGGCTCCGTCATTTGACGGAGCCACCTGCCCCCCCCCGTCGAGCGCACTCTTCCTAAAGACAGAGACGCAACTGAGAGATGGTAAATAATGTGCTACAAAATCTTGGTGAGGAATTTACACACCTGGTTTAACTATTCTCTCTTGACGAGGTGTTCTTGTTCTTGTAACGGCATTCACCCGAAGTGGGTTGAGCCGGATCCAATATTGGAGTTTCATGGGAATTTGGAATTCACAAACGGTCCCCAACCCGCATGTATAGCACATGAGATTTTGATTATAGTGGTGTAGGTTTCGTGCAGGAACATCCACACTTTTTGAAGGGCCGATTACAGAGACCTGGTGCACTACGTACCACAAGGTCCTCAAACAACCCTCCTCAGGTTTTGAATTCAGAGTTGTCCTTCTCCTAGACCAGTTGCCATCCAAGGCTATAGAACACAGTCTGTGCTGCTATTTACCCATAGCTGGAGGGTGTTAGCACGTAAATGAATGTAATGGATTCAACTGGAATTCGAACTCGGCTCTCCGATTCCTCAATCCAAGCCGCTATCCATTACTCCACCGTGCATCCGAGGTGTAAATTAACAGCGATTTTAACCGGCCGACGATCTTTATATTTCGGACGGTAGGCTCAAAGAGATTTCTTTTCAAATAATCGCTGTTCTTAAATTCTATTCTTTTGAATGGTGCTGTATACTACAAAGATAACATAGCCATAAGAGTAATATTAGACGTTTCCTTATATGGAAACATTCGACATTGATTGACTTAAAAGCTACTACTACTTTCAGTTCAAATTTATCAAATACTAGCAGCATGGAATGGTACTTGATTCAAAAATCGTACGACCCATACAGCAATCGCTATCACTTGACTTAAAATATTTTTGCCCTTCCTTGCCTTTAAAGGAGTGCCCTTTGGCGTGCTGATGTTGCTACATGCCTTACTTCTTGCCTATCTCACACTGCGAATTTTTTCTAAGCTCTATACTAAACATTAAATCTGTTACGAAAAAAGAACTAAACAAAATGAACACAAAACGATCAGCTTTAAAAAAGGACTCGGAACTGGAAAAACCGAATGAAAAAAGAATGTTAACAACAAATACTTTTTCACACCCAACCCAGTTCTGCGGAATCAGAATCAACGTTGAGTTTAAGCGAGCGAATGAGCCAATTGGAGTAAAGTGCCATGCAGATTTAAATTTTTCCCACTAGTGACGAATGCAGCTATCAACATTTTTTGCATACTAGCTTGCTAGTTAACATTCGTGTCAGTCAGCTGTTGGCTCTCACGCTGGCCAATAGAATCTTCCTGCCTATTCGTGGCAGCCAGCTATTGGCTCTCACTCTGGCCAGTAGAAAATGGCCGCAAACTACATGAAAACTGCCGTAGAAGCATGAAAAAATGGATTATTTCCACTATCGATGGGAGTTGGGAAATGCAAAGTCCGTCTTGGCCTTTCCCGCTAACTTGGAGCATGTGCATGTAAATTTTGGTGCAAATCCGTCGAAAATTGCGGCCGTGCATTCGTTACACACACATACACACACAAACACACACACATACACATCTTGCTTTTTATAGATAGAGATCTAAATAAATAAACGGCAAATACTGTGTGTCTGACCGTGTGTCTGTACCCCTCAAAATCAGGCCACACTTACATTACACAGACATATTATACCCTTTTGGAATTAGGATGATCCCGGGATTGAAAATCTGTCCTTCATTTGGTGTTTTAACATCCAGTATTGGGATTTGTGCCCGGATGAGGAGGGAACAGTTAAAAATTCACATTTTAAAATAACTGATTTTTTTTTTTTAAATTCAACTTTTAAAATAACTGAATTTAACAAAAAAATTTATATTGAATCTAAAGTAACAAAAAAACTTGTAAATTTTTAAAAAAATATTTTCTTAAAGTCAGTTTAAAATGTCTCCAAAATTTTGTGAACTCAAGAAATAAATTTTATTTCTTTAAAATGCCAAGGGATCAGGGTTAAAGTGAGAGGTTTTTTGGCGGTTCGGTTCGGAAGTTTCGCAGAGTTTCTGATTTGAAGAAAACGCAATTGGAATTTCCACGATGTCTGTGATTTGAAGAACACAGTTTTGCACCTCAATTGTTTCGGGCCAACTCGGTCTTTTAGTCGGAATTGGACGAATCAGAGTTAAAGTGAGGTTTTTGAAGTTTCATGCAGTGAATTGAAGAATTCAAAATTATTTCTTCAGAATTATCATTGCTGTTTTCTAAACTGGATCAGAGGTGCCTCTAGTTTTGGGCCGGTGGTCCAATTAGTCCCCCGCGGGACTTTTAAGCTAGTGTCTAATAAAACAATTTCTCAGTAACGCTATTTTCTATTAACAGATTCATTTTAGATATTGTATGGAATGCTTAAATAATCAGTACTCATCTCTTCGTGTATGTAGTTTAGAAATTGAGTAAAAAGATTGGAGCTCTCGTTTTGTGCAACTGGTGAGATATGAAATGATTCGACCTAAACAGGCTCACAATCAAGACCTATCAAGAAAGGTCCCATTCGAAAAGCCCATTGGTAAAAATGTCTTCCCTCTTAAGTAGTGGTGAAGGGCATATAGATGATTTTTTTTTATATTCATTGATTAGAGTATTTAATAGATTCTAAAATTCTCTCATTAAATGTCTCGATTAAGAGCGAAGCGAATAGTGGGTTTGTTTTATTTTTTTCTTACTGCCGACAGGCTGGTCAGGTTAAAAATTAAAAATTCTTTTGTGTCAGAGAGAGAGAGAGAGAGAGAGACAGATAGACAGACAGACAGAGAGAGAGAGAGACAGAGACAGAGTGAGAGAGAGACAGACAGACAGACAGAGAGACACAGAGGCAGAGACACAGAGAGAGAATGAGAGACAGAGAGAGAGAATGAGAGAGACAGAGAGAGAATGAGAGAGAGGGAGAGAGAGAGAGAGAGAGACAGAGACATAGAGAGAGAGAGTGAGAGAGAGACAGAGAGAGAATGAGAGAGACAGAGAGAGAGACACACAGAGAGAATGAGAGAGAGAGACACAGACACAGAGAGAGAAGGAGAGAGAGACACAGACACAGAGAGAGAAGGAGAGAGACAGAGAGAGACACACACAGAGAGAATGAGAGAGAGAGACACACACAGACACAGAGAGAAGGAGAGAGACAGAGAGAGACACACACAGATAGAGAGAATGAGAGAGAGAGAGAGACACAGACACAGAGAGAGAAGGAGAGAGAGAGAGTGAGAGACAGAGAGAGAGAGAGTGAGAGACAGAGAGTTACAGAGACACAGAGAGATTGGGAGAGACAGAGAGATACAGAGACAGAGAGAGAGAGTGAGAGAGACAGAGAGAGAAACAGAGATACAGAAAGAGAGAGAGAGAGTGAGAGACTGGTCAGTATCTAGATGGGTTAATTGGGAAAACTAGAGGCTGTTGATCTGTATGTTTTTTCGTGAGATGTGATGGATAACAGCTAAGCATGAGAGACAGAGAGAGAGAGAGAGAAATAGAGAGGGAGACAGAGAGAGAGAGAGAGGGGGAGAGAGAGGGGGAGAGAGAGGGAGGGGGGAGAGAGAGAGAGAGAGAGAGAGAGAAAGCGTGACAGAGACAGATGCTAAAGGAGAATAGAAAGAAAGCAAAAGAAAGAAAATTATCTGAAGTGTAATATTAAATTAAAATTTCAAAGGAAGAACCTCTTATCAACAAAGATCTAAAAGTGAATATAAAAACGCATTGAAAAACCGAACTATAAAATATAAAAAAGCAGAATGGCGATAATTTGATAAATGGAATTAAAGAAGATTATATAAAAAAAAGGTTCATCAACGGGATGGCGGTTGGGAGTACCTGTCAGACATGCAAAAAAAAACCAAAAAAACTGTCGGGTGAGAGAAGAAACAAAGAAGAAAGATATTAGCGGACATAAATATATTTGTTTTGAAATAGCAATTAGGAAGAATTATTGAAAATTCTCGAAGAAAAAAATAAAAAAAAGAATAAACGAAATTTTGGAATTTTCTTTTGTTTATAACTTGTGATAAAAAAAAAAAAAAAAAATAGTAACAAAATCAAAAGAAAAAAAAGTCAATTTAGGAAATTTAAGATTTCAAAACAAAGGCCCCAGACCCGCAAAAAAAAAAAAATAATAAATAAATGCAAAAAATAAAACAGATAAATTAAAAAAAAAAAAAAAAAAATCTTTATGAGACGGGACTGAGGCCGTCCTGGGTATGACGATAACCTACACCCGCGTCCTGGGTAAGACGATAAACTACGTCCAGCAGCAAGGCCTCTGATCAAGAGGTTTTGAGGAACGTGGAACCACCTCTTAATTGCTGGTGTTCCCAGGTCCACCTTTACCCGGGGTGGTAGCACCTGTTAGGGTCCAAACTATATGCAAATAGTTAACCCCTAAACTGGGGTCAAAACTCTAAGTATAAAAATAGGTTTTAATACCAGAAATAACTTTTTTGGTAAAAAAATTATTACCAGAAATACATTACCAACAATACATTTAAAAAAAAAAAAAATTACCAGTAATATATTTTGGAAAAATATTACCAGCAATAAAAAATTTTGTCGGCATTAAATAACCCAATGAGGTTGATATGCCGTAAAACAAACCAAACCAAACGGGAGTGAGGTATTTTCTATTGGTAGCCTTGTGGTTAAAACGTTTGTTTTCTGGCTCTAAGGCACGTGTTCAAATCTCATTCATCAAATGGAAGTGGTTTTTTGATAATATCGTCATGGGGAGAGGTTCCGAGCGGGCGGCACCTTTACAAAATGCCTGAAAGCAATACTATCAATTAACCAAAGCTATTGATTGATCTATTTCCTTTTTTTACGGCCTCTTCCAGGTTATTTAAAACGTTTAGATTATAAGAATCTTTTGGCGATAATAATGATCTACTGATACAAGTTCGACTAATTAACCCATAGCTGGGGGAGAAGTAGTTTCATACATTTCCTGACCGTGAATATAACAAACTTGAGTGGAATTGGAAATCAGCCCTCTGTTTTTCAGTTCCGAGACGTTATCGATTACAACACCAACATGTCCAAGCTTACGGCCTGGTGTGACCCGAGGCTTGTGGTTGATTTTGGGTAAACGGGCCCGTTCGGAAGCCGATTGCACAAAGTCACAAGTCATCGTGACGGAGGGTTTAAGTGTGCTGGTCATGTTCAAAAGAAATTGATCACGTAAGATTATTCTCGCTCTTCTTGAAATCGTAAAGATGATCTGCTCGGCTTATGAGCGGGGGTCTGTAATAGAAATTTAATAGCCGGTTATTGTATGAAATATAGATGCCGACACAATGTAATTATTACTCTCACTGCCTCTAAACTGAACGTTTTCTATGGAATTTCTGAAACATTCAGTCCGATATATGTAATTAATACTGTTTATTTAAAAGAATAGGGTAGTTACTTAAATAAACTATATCTATTAAAATAACCTAATAGGTGGCCACACATATTCGAGGATAGCTGTCGACTAAGACGGCTACCCAGTCCCTAGTGTAGACGCTTGCTCAGACGCATTTGTGGTTATTCAACACCCACAGAGCCAACCTGTGGTTTATACTGCAACTATGCTGACCAAACCTTAGTTACAGTTTCAGGGAAAGAGCGTGTTATCTAGCGTGATCAACAATTTGAACAAGGCCAGCACGCTCAAGCGCTTGTGACCTTTACATTTATCGGCCTGAATGTTCGAGTAATTTCATAGAAAATATATGTTTCTCCAATAGGAATCGACCCTGTAACCCCAATAGGAACCTTTGTTTCGATCGGAATTGCACATATTTTCTACGAAATTTCGAATATTCAGCCTCGTAAATGTAATTAATACTTCTTAATTAAAAAAAAAAACAGGGCCTTTACTTAAATAAATTGTATCTATTAATATAACGTATATACAGAATGTATATTAAATAATTGTCTGGAATTAATCCATTTCACAATATATATATATATATATATATATATATATATATATATATATATATATATATGAGCGGGGATTCGACTGGATATGAAAATTCGGGGTTTTTTCTTCAAAAAAGCAAATAAAGATTTCAGTTATCTGTTTAGATTGGTATTGCTTTTATGTCCATCGTCTTTTTCATGTTGAATTGCATATGGTCTATGTTAATTATGTTTTATGAATATGTTCTGAAGATGGTCTATTAGACCGAAACGTCCGACGTTGACATTAAACATTAAAACAGCATAATCGCATATTAGGATGTTTGTTTGTTTTTTCAGTATATTTTTCTTCATATATATATATATATATATATATATATATATATATATGTGCGTGTGTGTGTGCGTGTGTGTGTGTGTGTGTGTGTGTGTGTGTTTTGTAAAAATTCAGATATAGCTCAAATTTAAATATGTAAAAAAGCAATATCAATAACGACAAAATGAAAGCTTTACTTCGTCGACGCATTTCGTCACCTCATGGAATTTATCAAGCCAATGAATTTAATTTTGCAACAAACAGAAGTAAAAATGTCGAAGATTATCAAAATTTTTGCGTATTAAGTATCTTACTTCGATCAAAAGGATGCCAAACTCATTGAAAGAGAAAGTAAGTTCTTCTATTATGTGTCGTGTCCCTTCTGTACGTATGTGCTCATGGCCCTCCACATCTTCCTGTTCCTTGTAGCTCTTAATAAGTTTTGTCTTTTTGTTATTTCTCCTAGACCCTGTTCCGCCATCCACTTGCTTAAGCCCATTAAATATGTTACAGATTGCTTTCCCTTCTCCCTTTTTCCCTCTATCCGCCCTGTGAGTATTATATTTTCCAAGCCCTCTTTCCTAATTACGTGTCCCAGAAATTTCATCGGATGTTAAGTATAAATTTCCTCTTTGTTTCAATTCTCTCCAAAACCTCGGTGTTTCTCACATGTTTGGACCATTGTATCCTTAGCATCCTTCTGTAGAACCAAAGTTCTGTTCCCTCGAGTCTTCTTCATCTTTGAGGAGATTGTCTAGCATTCGCTGTCATACAAGAGGACAGATATCACGTAGCAGCTTAGGACTATTTTCTTTGTTACCAACGAACACCTCCTGTCTTGTAATACTCTGCTTAGCTTTTGGAATGCGTTTTTGGCCGTCCCAGTATATTTTCGGATCTCGAATGTCGTACTTTTCGTCCTCTGTGAGAACACTTCCCAGATATTTAAATTTCCGCACTTGCTTTAAATTTCCGACCTGTAAATCGCATTTCGGGTTCATCTTTTTGCTGATGACCATACATTCTGTCTTCTTGTGGTTTAAGCTTAATCCCTTCTATTCATTATCCTTCGCTACCTTCGGTAGGAGGATTCAACGGAAAATCCTCGAGAGTGACGCTATTGAATGTTACTAAAATATAAATCTACGTCCCGGATTTTTTTTTTTATTATTATCTCCTATTTGCACGTTTTATCTCGATAACAAATACGTAACTATTTATTTTTTTTTACAATGCAGACTAATATTTTGCTCGCGTTTATATTATCTTGTTCAGAAACGTGTGTATTTTCAAACTACAAATAACTAAAATAAAAAAAAAAAGAATATAAAATCTTGGTTAAGGTGACGAAAGGAAAGAGTATTTTAGTCTACCAAAATAAATAATGCATAAATAAGACTAGAAGTGACTAAATCAATAGCCAATCGAATTGAAAAGAAAAATTTTAAATTTGTCTTTCTCTTCATTCGAAATTTTTCGCTCGTTTATTCCGACAGATCTTATTTTGTTCAAATTTTCTTTCGTTTATTACTGTTATATTTTTAACATTTTTTCCTTCAAACTTTTCCCCCCGTTCCTTTCTTCCTCCTCCTATTCGGCATTCTTCTTTTTTTAATTTTATTCCTTCACAGATTTTCTCTCTGTTCAGCTTTCCATCGCTTATATGCTTCTTCTTCTCTGACTTTTTCTTTTCTTTCCCTTTTCTTCATAGTTCTTGTCTTTTCTTCAATCTTTTCATTCGTTTGCTTTCTTCTTCTTCCTCTTCTTCTTCTTCTTCTTCTTCTTCTTCTTCTTTCCCTTTCCTTCACAGTTTTTGTCTTTTTCTTCATTCTTTGCATTTGTTTGCTTTCTTCTTCTTCTTCTTCTTCTTCTTCTTCTCTTTCGCCTTACTTTCTTTCCCTTTCCTTCACCGTTTTTGTCTTTTTCTTCATTCTTTTCATTCGTTTGCCTTCTTCTTCTTCTTCTTCTTCTTCTTCTTCTTTTTCTTCTTCTTCTTCTTCTCTTTCGCCTTTCTTTCTTTTCCTTTCCTTCACAGTTTTTGTCTTTTTCTTCATTCTTTTCATTCGTTTGCCTTCTTCTTCTTCTTCTTCTCTGACTCTTCCGCCTATCTTTTCTTTCCCTTTCCTTTCCTTCCCTATTTTCGCCTTTCCTTCATTCTTTTCATTTGTTTCCTTCTTCTTCTTTTTCTTCTTTTCTTCTTGATTTCTACCTTCTATTCTACCCGCATTCGATCGATCGCTTCTACCCTGTCCTGCTTCTTTCGTCTGCTATTTCCTCCTCCCATTATATCGTTTATTTAACTACGAGAATGACGCCAAATTGCATTGGAATTAAGCGAACAAAAACACCCAACTGGCCATAGAAGAAAATTGCACGTAAATGCAAGGAATCCTGAAATAAGTAGAGAAAATGGAAAAGCAAAATTGAAAAGAATAAAAAGAAACAAATGTGTAGCTCTTGATAAGTAAATAGTAAGAAGAAGATTTAGCGAAGAGGGGGGTAAAAACGGTAAGTAAGAATTTCAATAGACGGAAATAAGACTGGAATGTCAATAGTAAAAATAACAACAAAAGTAGACGCAAAAAATTTAAAAATGATGAAGGAAATGTAAAAATAGAATTTAAAAAAGAAGGAAACGCAAATATTAAAAGTTGAGAAAATTTAAATTAAAAATTAAAATCAAAAGTATAAAGGAAGACATTGTAAAAATTAAAAATAAACAGAAAATAAATGTAAAATTAAAAAAAAAAAGTCGGAAATGTAAAACTGAAAAATTAATGGAGAAATAATAAGAAATAAAAGTAAAGACAAAATTTAGAAATAAATGTAAAAAAAAAGTTAAAATTATAAAAAAAAAGAATGACGGAAATACAAAAATTCAAATTAACAAAAAAGGAAATATAAAAAGTATAAATTAAAAAAGAGGAAATGTGAAGATAATGAACAAAATAATAAAAAAAAATCTAGAAACGACGTATTTCACCGAGAGCGTCGGCTCTATCTGGTTTCTCCCGGTTAGAATGAACGTAAGACAAAACTATGTGTAAGGGGAAATGTGTTAAGAATAAATGCAAAACTGAGCAAAAAAAAAAAAAAAAAAAGAAAGGGAAAATAAAAATTAAAACAGAGAGATATGTTTTTACATTACTTTCTCAAGAAGGAAATGCAAAAATTAAAAGTAGAGGAAAAAGAAATGCAAAAATTAAAGATCAAATAAAAATAAGTGCAAAATTAAAAAGTAAATGAAAAAAAAAATGCAAAAAAATTAAAGATCAAAGAAAAGAAGTGCAAAATTAAAAGTAATGGAAAAAAATGCAAAAATAAAGATCAAAGGAAAAGAAGTGCAAAATTAAAAAGTAAATGAAAAAGAAATGCAAAATTAAAGATAAAAGAAAAGAAGTGCAAAATTAAAAAGTAATGGAAAAAAATGCAAAAATTAAAGATCAAAGGAAAAGAAGTGCAAAATTAAAAAGTAAATGAAAAAGAAATGCAAAATTAAAGATAAAAGAAAAGAAGTGCAAAATTAAAAGTAATGGAAAAAAAATGCAAAAATTAAAGATCAAAGGAAAAGAAGTGCAAAATTAAAAAGTAAATGAAAAAGAAATGCAAAAATTAAAGATCAAAGAAAAGAAGTGCAAAATTAAAAGTAATGGAAAAAAAATGCAAAAATTAAAGATCAAAGGAAAAGAAGTGCAAAATTAAAAAGTAAATGAAAAAGAAATGCAAAATTAAAAGATAAAAGAAAAGAAGTGCAAAATTAAAAGTAATGGAAAAAAATGCAAAAATTAAAGATCAAAGGAAAAGAAGTGCAAAATTAAAAAGTAAATGAAAAAGAAATGCAAAAATTAAAGATAAAAGAAAAGAAGTGCAAAATTAAAGATCAAAGGAAAAGAAGTGCAAAATTAAAAAGTAAATGAAAAAGAAATGCAAAATTAAAGCTCAAAGAAAAGAAGTGCAAAATTAAAAGTAATGGGAAAAAAATGCAAAAATTAAAGATCAAAGAAAAAGAATTGCAAAATTAAAAGTAAAGTAAAAAGAAATGCTAAAATATAAAGATCAATGAAAAGAAGTGCAAAATTAAAAGTAATGGAAAAAAAATGCAAAAATTAAAGATCAAAGGAAAAGAAGTGCAAAATTAAAAAGTAAATGAAAAAGAAATGCAAAATTAAAGATCAAAGAAAAGAAGTGCAAAATTAAAAGTAATGGAAAAAAATGCAAAAATTAAAGATCAAAGAAAAAGAATTGCAAAATTAAAAGTAAAGGTAAAAGAAATGCTAAAATTTAAAGATCAAAGGAAAAAGAAGTGCAAAATTAAAAGTAATGGAAAAAAAATGCAAAAATTAAAGATCAAAGGAAAAGAAGTGCAAAATTAAAAGTAAAGGGAAAAGAAATGCAAAAATGATAAGCAAAGTACATCACAAGTCCCGTAATCTATGAAGGTCGTTGGGGTACCACAGGTACTACAGCCGTAACAGCAGTGATTTGTGTTGAGCAAGATAGTCTGACGGAGAAAGTACAATAAAAGAACACTATATACTATTTCTAAAGTGTGCAGATTATTTTGCCAGCCGTGCTTTTCCCAAAAATGGAAAACCACGAATTCGTGTATTTGTACGCACAATCTAGACGATCTAAAAGTTGTTGGCCTAACTCGAAATCTTTTGCCGCCTGTGTCAGATGAGATTACGTATGATAATAGACTGTCTGATATTGCCGGGTACATATTGTGCAATATGAGTTTCGCCCAAAGAGAATTTTTTGTTCAGTATTATAGCAGGTACGTGTTGTTTAATTCTTTCGCCAAGCGTATTTCATGTAGTTCACGTGAGTGTTATTTTGCAGCGAACGTTCGTGTTGTCTTTCAAACTAAGTCCGTACTTTCATCTATGTGTAAAGATGTTCTACCCCCTCCCCCACCATATTAATTCTGTTATTTACCATTTCAAATGTAGTTTCGGATGCGTTTACATAGGTAGAACGACACAGCGGTTGGACGTTAGAATTAAACAACACATACCTGCTATAATACTGAACAAAAAAATTTCTTTGGTCGATACCATTCGTAACACGTATGGTTCTTCGATTGCGGATCACTTTATAGAGAATCCCACTTGTGCGATGGATTTCAGTGTGAACTGGTTTTCCGTCTTGGCCACAGCACACTCATTATTCCATCTTAAGGTGTTGGAGACGCTGTACATCAGGTCCAGGCGACCTGCTCTTTGTAAACAAAGAGATTGTTTGCTTGGACTTGCTGTGCTGCGCTTCTAGCATCTTGGTTGGTATAATTTTTTATAATATTTTTTTTTCTCCCTGTCCACTCATTCATGTCATCCATGACAGACTTTTTCTTCTTTTTTTTTACTCATAATTGTAGTTCCCCGTTAACAGTTCTGATGAGAGGGGACGAAACCGGTCGACTGGTGTGTGTTTTTGCTTTAAATCTATCATGGCCTACAATATAAAATTTCTTGTTTTTAATGCCTTAATACGCCTTTTTGTACCGTTTCAATATATATATATATATATATATATATATATATATATATATATATATATATATATGAAAGCAGAACAAAAAAAAAATTTCTCAAAATTTCATTAATTAATTAAGGGAGTGGTAAATAAATGTAAAAAAAAAAAACATTTCTACAAAGATTTTCTAAAAAAATCTAAAATATTTCATTCATTCGTGAATAACTTCTGAAAGTTTCATTTAAATCCGATAATTATTTGTTTTTTTTTTTTAAAGAATTTCCAAATCAGTGTCTTGTTTACCGAAAAAAGGCGCAAAATTTCCTAATATTTACTTTCACTGTCCCCCGCTGGCGCAATAAAAACAAGCTATTTAACCAAAATTTTGAAGGTGCTAGAAAGGATTTAAAAATTTAATGAAATTATAAAATAAAATATTTACGTCTTTCCTTTTAATAATATCATAAACATTCTGACGATAAAAGTTCGTTTTTATCAAGTTTGGTGCCATTTTCATCATGCTATGTTTTTTTTTCAGCGAATTATTGGAGGTACCTGCTTTTGTTTATTAGACATTATATTACGTTACTTAGCATCTTCCATAACTTACCTACACTTATCAGCTAGCCTGATGAATATTTATGAACGTTTTTACATTTAAAACTTTTGTAGATGTAACGATATTTTATTTTTATGAATTAATACCTGTAAGACAAAATACTTACATTTTACAGGATAAAATCTATCAGTGGATGAAATGCGACTTCTAAGCCTCGAGTGTTGTTTTTTTCTTTTTCGGCTATTTATATATACGGGTCAGTGGTGCATTGTGGGTAGTCTATTTTGGCGATTATTTTGCCGGAAGACGTTTATTTGTTTAATTATTTATTTGGGTTAGATTATTTTGCTTATTTTTATTTCTTTTTTATTTTCATTTCTTATCTTATATATATATATATATTGATTTATTTCAGTCGGTGTTTTATTAACGCTGTAAAAAGTTGTTTATATCGCTTATTTAACAGTTTTGTTTTGGTTTGGGAAGATAATTAAAGTTATATATTCATTTTGGGGTTGATTGCTATAGTTTATTCTAACTATTATTTTGTCGGGATCAGTTTTTAATTTGTTTATTACTTCATTTATTTATTGGATCAATTATCTTTACTTGTTTTTTTTCTAACGGTTAATTTATCGGGATCGGTTTGTTAGTTTATTTATTTGGATTAATTTAAATTAATTTATTTTACTTGTTTATTATTATTTATTCATTATACTGTAGATTCTTATTTACTCTTTTCGGTTTTCGATTTTTTGGTAAAGTCGTATTTTTTTATTGTTATATAACAGTTATAGCTATGTTTTTCATCCGATATTTGGTTTGGTTTTTATACTCTAACTAATATTTTAGTTATAATCGTGTGTTAATTTGATTATTATTTACTTTATTTATTTGGGTTCATTGATTTTTTTTTTTAATTTTTTATTTACACAAGCTCTATCTCTGATATTGAGCACTTTATCTCATAAATATAGCACACCTTAAGAGTACGTTTTCGATGTTAAATATTCTCGATATATGTTAGTGACCCAAATGTCTTTCTTGGACTGGCAGGCAATTCTGATATATATATATATATATATATATATATATATATATATATATATATATATATATATATATATGTGTGTGTGTGTGTGTGTGTGTGAAAAGTGTATATAAATATAAATAAATATATATATGTATAATTATTTATATATTATATGCGCGGTACTTATTAGAAAGCTAACATATTTGGTTGGATAGATGTGAGTTTGTGACCCT